ATAAATTACATACAATTTTAATTATAAAATAATTTAAATATTTTTAATTTTAATTTTATATTATTTTATTAATAACATTTTTTAAATAATGAAATAATAACAATAATTAATAAAATTAAAATTCTAATCTATCAGTTTAATGAATCTCGACTTTTCAATTCAAGTGAAATTCAAATACCAAAATTATTATAGTATTACTACATTAACAAATAAATATAAAGATTTTAAAGATGTGTCTTTTAATAATTTCAATATTGAACTTAACATTAAACGCAATTTAATTTAGGCAATGAACAATTAACTCTTTTTCTTTTGACCAATGGAAAAACATTAAACACCGAAGAGCTTGAAATTTCATTAATAGTCCAATTAAAAGCTTGAATTACGGAAACTGAAATCCCTAATTACATGCGCAGATCCTAACCAACATTCTTGACAGCAAGACTTCCCCATCTTGGTTGCCTCAATCGAAACCCTAATCTTAACCCCCAAAACCGTACAACGTCCTGCCCTGCCTCTTAAGAGCGTACACCACATCCATCGCCGTCACGGTCTTCCTCCTGGCGTGCTCCGTATAAGTCACGGCATCACGAATCACATTTTCCAGAAAGATCTTGAGAACACCACGAGTCTCCTCGTAGATGAGGCCGCTGATACGCTTAACACCACCCCTACGAGCCAGACGGCGAATTGCCGGCTTGGTAATCCCTTGGATGTTATCACGGAGGACCTTACGGTGACGCTTTGCTCCGCCCTTTCCCAATCCCTTGCCTCCCTTTCCTCTTCCCGACATCTTGATTTAGGTTTGATGAATCTAAAATCACCAAAAACAGAATCGAAATCTAAGAAAAGAAGGAAATGATCTAAAACCCAGACTAATTTTGACAGAGAATACAAGAGGAAATCGAGCAAGAAGATTACCTTTACCTGAGAAAATGAGAATTGAAAGAGACACAGAAACTCTTAAGAAATTGAAAGTTGGAAAACTGCGTGTCAGCGATGGGGGCCTTTTATAGGAGAAGTGGGGTTTGTGTGATCGAGGATAAAATCCATGTGATGATTTCAGGGGAAACCTCAGCCGTCGATTAAGCTTAAAAGGACGGTTGATTGGAGAGATGGTTGACGCGGATCGATGACGTGGATACCTTAAGCGGGAGTTTTTTTAAGCGCCATTTTTCGATCATTGTGTTTCTTTTGTGCCTAAAAAAACACGAAATTTTTTTATACGTTTTTTTTATTGTTTTGGAGCTGAAAATAGCGCGAGACTGCGATAATTTGCAGCCCCACTCAAAATTGAAGCCCATGGGCCATGGTCCATGAGTGTATTGGGCCGATTCGGGTCTCGGATCCGGTCTGTGTCCTCTCGTCTCCTTCCCCTTAAACCCTACAGAACAAACCCTTCCTTCTTTTCTCTCCTGACTGAACTGACAATGGGGTTTTTCGACCTGAACATCCCGTATCTTGAATCTTCTCCGTCAAATACTGCGGCGAACGCCGCTCAGAAAGCTGTGCGGATCAAAATAGTCGTCAAGGCCATGGAGCTTGGCTACACTGGAATCGCCTACAACCGTACAATGAAGGGCGTGATGTCGGAGCGTGATCGTTGCGCAATCCCGGTCCTCACTCTCTCTTCACTCCTTAAGGTTGCCCCTTCTCTTTCTTCATCCGTCAATTTCCATCGCGACCTACTCGGCGTTCCTCAATCCTCCCCTTTCCGCCAGTACACCCGCCTCACCGTATGCGTTGATAACGTGCCCCAGTGTCAGGCGTTGAACTCTGGGAATCCTATTTTGAAGAGCTACGACATTGTTGCTGCTACGCCGTTGAACCAGACCGCTTTTGATTACACATGCGAGAAAGCTGAGGTATTCGATTTTCCTCTTGAATTTGTTTATTGAGATTGCATCTGTGGATTTAATCAATAGAAGTTTTCTGTTTGCTTGTTGATATGAATTTAGGTCGACATTATTGCCATTGATTTCTCAGACAAGATGCCTTTTCGATTGAAGCAGCCTATGGTTAAAGCTGCTGTTGAGGTTTGTTTGTAACTTCTTTTTTGTGTTTTTGTGACTTTTGTTTGTTTCTTTCACTGGATGATGTATCTGGAAATTTGGTGTGCAGCGTGGTGTTTACTTTGAAATCACCTATGCTGATCTTATCGTCGATGTTCAAGTGAGGAGGCAATTGATATCCAATGCCAAGGTGAGGATTGTGAATGTGTAGCACAACTTTTTGAAAGTTGGATTGCATGCTACATTCTGTTGAGACTTTAAAGAACCAATGCCCAGAATTAATCACTCAATAAATAGATTATATCAAACAAGAAAAATAGAAAGGACACCAAAGATTTTTACTGGAAAACCCAAATGGAACCACAGGGCGCTTGCCCAGATGCAAATCAATCCACTACTAAAATGTTGGATTGCAACCTTCGGATCAAAATCCGAATCTCTTAAATCTCTAGTATCCCAAAGACATACTCTCAACCTTACTCTGTTTTTCTTATTATTTTCTCACTATTTCTCTCACACACACACCTCTGCACTCATATACATTTTACACTAGGGGTGTTTTTGAATACAAGGATAGTAACAACTATACTATCAGGGACCAATTTATTAACATGTCAAAAGCTAGAGGTGTCTACTTTGCTTTTCCCATTTTCTTCAAGAATAGCAATTTTGTGTCGAGAAATCTACTCATTTTCAATACTTCCCAAGTTTCTGTCATTATCAAGTGCATCTCCATTGTTTGGCCACTCAACTTGGGAGGGCTAGCTCAACACATTCAGTGTTGGTTTCAATGATGACCTTAGTATACTTAGTAGTCAATTGAAATTTTGACTAAGATGAGCGGTTTCTCTTTGTTAGTAGTTGTTTTTAATCTGATTTTGGAAGTTTCTTGGATTAAATTCTTGGTGTGAAACAGGAGCCATGAAAATTTTATATTCTTACCCTGTAATCCTGAAATAAAATTTATTCAATGACTTCTATGACTCCTACACGGGCTTTGAAATATAGATGCAATTTAGAAAGCACAGAAAATTGGAGCTTTTATGTTTTAGGATTAAAGCTGGTGCAAGTTATTTTCACGTTGACCCTATCATCATGGTTCTTAGATTGCTAACTCCAGTTAAGTTGATTGCGGAAATAGAATAAAATTAGTATGTTTTCATTTTGGATAATACAAATAGTTGCCTCTGCTGAAAATATTAGTTTTTTTTTTTCTCTTTTTCCCATTTTCCCAGTATATTGTATATTATCACATTACAAATACTTATTGTCCAGACATCCATGTAAACATTTGAGATTTATGGTGGATGTTTACTTATGTAAGTGACACACTTTTCCAGTTGCTGGTTGATTGGACTAGAGGAAAGAATCTTATCTTCTCTAGTGCTGCACCATCTGTATGGGAATTTAGAGGGCCAAATGATGTTGCAAACTTAGCATCATTACTTGGTGTGTCTACTGAACGAGCTAGAGCAGCTGTTTCCAAAAATTGTAGGTATGCTGACTTAGAGAAAACCTGGAAATCTTAGGAGTGTAGTGAGTTAATATCTCATTTGGTGGAATTTTTTCTTTAATGTTTTGCAGGACTCTTATAGCTAATGCTTTAAGGAGAAAACACTTTTTCAAGGAGATTGTTAGAATTGAACCAATTTCATCCAGTGGGAAATGTGATTCTGGGAAGCTTGGGTCTTTCGATTGGCTTAAATGGGATCCCATCTCTAGTGGCGATGGTGATTTGATACTGGATGATATGGTAACTTCTGTCTCTGTCTCTGCCTCTGCCTCCAGTAAGGAATTGAAAACTGTAAAAGCTATTGATTTTTCATCTGATATTGATAACATGCCATCACATGGTTTCCAAGTGAAGGATCTGATATTTGGAACCAAGGCAATTGACACATTGATTAGAACTGATGAGATGTCTGAAAAATCCAACACGCTTGATCTTCTTGCTAAATCAAAGACTACTTCATTTGATAATACTACATTAGAACTTCAAACTCCTATTTTCATGGATTCTGAGAAGTTAGAAAATGAAACTACACAGTGTTTTTCTAAGACTCTGGACGTCAGAAAATTTACGACTTTCACTGAGAAAGATCTGGAGAATCCATGTGTCTCAGATGTAGTGTTTGCCTCATTTCAAACAGAACAGCAAGAGCAGGATTTGCAGTTGAGAAAGTGCATTTCTAGTCATGAGCTAAATATTGAATCACAAAATAAGAATGTATTATTCCATGCATCAGGCTGTGAACTAAATATTGTAAGATCAAATGAGAATGTAACATCTCTAACATCAGCCATTGATATTGAACTTCATGCGACAAAAAATGCTGATGTGGAGTTAGTTGCAGAAAAAGTAGATGTGGATCATTTAACAGTGGGTACTGATATGGAGGATGGTGAGGATGGGTCTTTGACCTTGGATAACATGTCCTTGCATAGAAACACTTTGGAAAGAAAGCTGCCATTGAACCCTGGAGATGAAGCAGATATTACTGATCGAGTTTCATCTCTGGACTCTGACCAGATGACAGTTGATTTTTCTGCCACAAGCCAGGAAGCTCAGGTGGAGGTCATAATAGTAGAGCACAAGCACGGAGAAGCAGCTAATGTCAAAATCAATCAACCTAGTGCTGCCTTAAGCAGTGTGTTGTATGAGAATGCTGTGGAAAGAGAACCAGTAACAGTAGCTGAAATTGGTCATGCACTTACTTATAAAGCTAATGATGACTTGCTGAGTGCAAATTATGAGGCCCAACATGAGGCTTCGAGGGAAGGGGAAAAAAATACAAAAGCTGACAAAAAGGGGAATCATCCAACCGCAGTCTTAAGTGATTTGTCTTTGCATGAAAATGTTGTGGAAGGAGAAGTAATAAGTGCTGCCGGTGGTGATGCAGTTGTTGAACAGATTTCTTTTATGGAGGCTGATGATTTGATGAAACTAAAAGATAAGCCTTCAACTGTGGACTATAATGTGCAAATGGAGGAAGCAGCAGAAAAGCAAAAGTATGTTGAATCTGATAGTAAAAATGATTATCCAGCATTGATTAAAGATACAACATCAGGTACCTATTAGTTAATGTTTTGAATTAAATCTTATTTTCTGTGTATTGATGATGTTTTTTTTTTTTTTTTTT